TTGTTTGGCAGGCCCAGGCTGGGGATTCGAACCCGCCACCTTAGGTGTATGTGGCTGGCACCTTAGCCACTTGAGCCACAGGCGCCGAGCTGAAACAGAAAAATCTTAACAAGAAAATGGTGTGGCTCTGGCATCATGACAATGCACCAACTCACACAGTATTGTCTGTGAGGGAGTTTTTAGCCAGTAAACAAATAACTGTATTGGAACACCCTCCCTATTCACCTGATTTGGCCCCCAGTGACTTTTTTCTTTACCCAGAGATAAAGGAAATATTGAAAAAAAGACATTTTGATGACATTCAGGACACTAAGGGTAATACGACAACAGCTCTAATAGCCATTTCAGAAAAAGTGTTCCAAAACTGCTTTGTCCATAGCTTCCCAAATGGAGTTCTAAAATTGCTTTGTCCATAGTTTCCCAAGTGGAGTACTTCGAAGGTAATGGTAGTGATATTCAGCCATGAGGTATGTAGCACTTTTTCTATGATGAGTTCACGAACTTAATTGTCAAACCTTGTAATAAACAATTTGGTAATTTCTGGAAAATATTATGCTGAGGGGAACAGCTGAAATCTGAGTCACTTCATCTCACCGGACTTGGCCAGTCTGGAACTCCAGGATATTAATGCTGTGAAAATTACTGTTCTACCAGAAAATGATTTTTCTTAACACTACATACCTGTTGTGCGAGTCAATTTAGTTTTACCCCCAAGACAGAATTATAAACTCAGTAATGCTGCTGCTGTTTCTTCACGTCATTAAATGCTGCTGTTTTCTGTCATGTCATTTCTTCAAGTATAAAACTCAGTGAGCCTTCAGAGTGCCACTCTATTAGGATCCTGCCTTTATTTGATTTAAGATATACTTAACCACTTTTCATTGTTCTTCCTTAGACCTTTCTTTGGCTTCATCTAACTCTTTAGATGAAATGACTAAAATGGGATGCATTATTTGAAGTGAAGAAGAACTACACATTACATGACATCTTTTCCCTCATTTTTTTTCTTTTTTTTTTTTTTTTTGAGATAGAATCTCACTTTGTTGCCCTCGGTAGAATGTCGTGGCATCACAGCTCACAGAAACCTCAAACTCTTTGGCTCAAACAATTCTCTGCCTCAGCCTCCCAAGTAGTTGGGACTA